CGCCCGGTGGTGGGCGCCTGCCTCTCAGGTCTGAGCTCCGCCTTCAGGCCCAGGCAGCCAGCCCATTCAGCGCCCCCGCCCTAAAGGCAGCGGGGCTGGCTCAGGCCTTGGTGGGCTCCCGTGTAGAGGGTGTCAGTGCTGGCCGGTGGCGAGGCCGGCAGTACATGGAAACCCACCGCTGCCCGACACTGCGGAGCCGGGCCAGCCAGCCCCCGGGGACTCCCAGCGAGAGCAGAGAACGGGTATCACAGAGTGTAGCAATTAAAATGGGAAAGCGAGGCAGCCTCCATTTTTGTAGAACATCATCATCGTTAAATAAAAAACCCAAATTAGCCAAAACCGGTTTGGCTCAGTGGATAGAGCGTCGGCCTGCGGACTCAAGGGTCCCGGGTTCGATTCCGGTCAAGGGCACGTACCTGGGTTGCGGGCACATCCCCAGTGAGCTGAACTTGGAAACCAAGTGAAGTTCAGTCCAATTAACCATCACATTTGAAGCAAAAAGGCTTGGCTGCCTCTGAGTTTGCTAGTCCCTCTGGCTCCCTCCTTTCATTCGTTCTCAAGGACCTCACTGGGCAGCACTGGCTGCAGGCTCAGAGGGGCCTGAGCCCCTGCCCCCTCAGCCTGTCGCTGTCTGCAGGGCTGAGCTTCCGACCAGCGGGGAGGGGGAGGGTATTGCAGGGGGGTCAGCAGAAATGACCCGAATGGGGCGGGGCGTGAGGGTCACCAGGAGAGCCCTGCATGCCACCGCGCCGCGGGGCAGAGGGAGCTCAGGCCGGGGGTGGGGGAGGGAAGGGAAATCATGCACGACACTTACACTTTCTGGAACACAAGAAAACTTCTCTGAAATCATAAAAGGCACACCATCCATTGCTGCAAAAGAAGAGAGAGGAAAGGGCATTGTAGATACCATCCATGTCAATGAATTGAGACGTCAACATCGACAGTACAAGCCAGGCAGTGGCTGGAGCCAGCCAACCTGCACGCAGGAGTGTGAGGCCCAGGGGTGTGCACACAGGCAACCATCCCTGCTCCTGGGACACCCCTGGTGCGGGAGGCAGACGCCCCCACGTCCCCGGAAGAGCAGGCAGCTGTGTAGACAAGAGCGGTGAGAGCAGAGCGGGCCCGGCAGAGCAGGCGCGTTAGACATGCTCTCAGCTGAGGGTCACACCCTGGATCGGGTTTTTATCCCTCCTTCCAACTGACAGTCACGTATTTCAGAAGAAAGATCTAGAAACATGACTGCGTTCTGGGCCGTGGTGGCCCCTGGGCTGTTTGTCAGCTCCTGCCGCGCTAGCTGTGATGGACGGGGAGGGGCCCTTGCCCAGGTCGGCTGATTGGACTCGGAAGGATGTAAATACAAACCGAGGAGAAAAAGACCAAGAAAAAAGTAACTTGCAAAACTTGGATATTAGCAACAGCAGCATTTTTATGTGAATCTATGTATAGTTGCATTGCGACCTTTTGTTGAGTTAATAAAGCTGCTGCAATAATCATAACCTGCATGTGTTTCCATATGATCAGATATAAACCCACGTCTGCCACCCCTTTATAATGTGTCATGTCTATCTTATAGCATGCTCAGGTAATAGGCAACATACGTTTTACCTTATACATCTATATATACACGTATACATACATGTGCCCACATATGTAGCATTTTCCAAGGCCTGCTCTTAGCTTCTAAGAGACTGAAGGGAGCGGGGAGACAGTGCCCCGCCCCCCCAGCAGGCGTTCCCCACCTGCCGTCCAGGGAGAGGTCCCCGCTCCACACCTGGAGAACCCGGGGCACGGTGGGGGTTGTTGGGACCGAGCGAGGGCTAACCCGCCAAGTGGGCCATCGAGGTGTAGGGTTGAGGCACACCTGTCCTCAGGGAAGCACTGAGGAGGCTGAAGAGAGAGGCCAGAGCGATGCCATGTGGGACCCCCAGAGGCAGCCGTGTGGAGAGAAGGGAGGACATTTGGGACAAAGTACCACTGTATCTTAGAGTTCAGGATAGAAGGAGGCTCAGTCAGGTGCTCTTCACAGTCTTCTAGAAAACGGAAGAACACACTCAGAAAGCGAGTGGCCAGGACGCTGTGGCTGGGATGGGAACGGAGCTCGCTCTAGACACTTCCACCCATGGGTGGAGCTCCTCACACGGGGGCAGAGTCCCCAGGCGCCAGCGAAAGTTTGCCAAACAGACAATCTGCCTGCCAAACTTCACTTATTCAAAAAATCTAAATGTCAAAGATTATGGTAGAAGGAAGGAATGTGAATTTTGCAAAGCATTTGACAAAACATCTCATGTTAGCCATGTGGATAAGACAGATAAATACGCTGACAATGTGAAGGGGGAGAATCCCTAACTGGCTGGACTAGATGCCCAAGTAGCTGATTAACAGATTGATGTTGACCTTGAGCAATCTCTCTGGTTGCCCAGGGTGTTATCAATGACTTCAATGAAGATGTGCATAGAATGCTTATGTAATACTAGTGACCCGGTGCATGGATTTGTGCACATTGAAAGGAAATTAATTAGAAGGTGGCCAGCAGGGTGGGACTGGGCAAGACGGGCTGGACACACCCTGGAGCCAACCTCCTGCAGTCCCTCCCTGGCTGGCTGCACCTGGGGTGGCGCCGTGGCTCAAAGGGTGTCTGTGGAGTGAGCGGGGTCCCTCCAGCAGGTGGGGTCACTCGGCCTGGCCTGAGGGGATGGGGTGAAACCGGCTCTCTGACATCCCCCAAGGGGTCCCGGGGTGCGAGAGGGCACTCTGCAAAGTTGCTGTTGTTCAGGGTGTGGAACGCAAACGCAAGTGTGCAGTAAACCAGATTCGGGGCTGACAGTGCCCCAGCAACAACATAACACACAGCCAAAGGTGGAATCGCACGGCCCCGCGAGGAATCGGGCTCCTCCTCTCTGGTTTCAGGGTGTGTCACCCGAGAACCGCTGCTGCCAAGTCACTGCAGGTCGGCAGCTCCTGCGTTGAGCGTTTGCCCCCTGGTGGTTAGTGCACGTCATAACGACCAATTGGAAGGTCGGACACTTAGCATATTAGCCTTTTATATATATAGAGGCCTGGTGCACAATCATTCGTGCGCTGGGGGCAAGTGGGGAGCTGGGTCCCTCAGCCCAGCCTGCACCCTTTAGCAGTCTGGGAGCCCTTGGAGGATGTCCGACTGACAGCTTAGGCCTGCTCCGTGGACATCCTTAGCGCTGCTGCGCCTCTACTGCTGCGCTCACCAGCCATCAGCCCGGCTTGTGGCTGAGCAGTGCTCCCCCTGTGGGAGCGCACTGACGACCAGGGGGCAGCTCCTGCGTTGAGCGTCTGCCCCCTGGTGGTCAGTGTGCATCATAGTGACGGTAATTCCACTGTTCGGTCGATTTACGTATTACCCTTTTATTATACAGGATGTGGCTGACGGGAAGTCAGGGAGGGCAGTTTATAAACTGGTAATAGAAAGAAATCCAAGAAAGATCTCAAAAAGTTGGGATCATGGGCTACACTTAACGGACGGATGGAACTTACTAAAGGTCATTAAGTCCAGTTGGTACTTTAGGCCCCAAGCCGATGGTATTAGGTGGAATGAAAGAGATGTGGAGCCACAGCAGAAGATATGAACAATAATGTGACTTCAGCACGTGACAGGGGCAGGGATGCCATGGTGAGGCACAGGCTGAGTCCTGGCACCAGAGCCAGGCGGGCGCCGTGTTGGCCGGAGCTCAGTGCGGGACCGACTCCTCTGAGCATTACCGGCAGCTCTAAGGAGGCCCAAGACGGTGGGGAGCTCGAAGCCAGACCAGTGAGGAGAGGAGAGGACGCCGTCAGGCCTGATGCTCCAGGGAGGCCGATCCTGTCCACTCTTGTTCACTGTGGCCCCACTGGGTCCCAGCGCTGGGCCAGCACACGGAAGGTCAGCAGATGGGGGCCCTGGCCCTGGAAGAGGAGGCCGGAAGGTGACCACACGCATTCTCAGCGCTGCCACAGGGGAGCGGCAGAGAGGTGGGGTGAGGTGCAGAGGGGAGCTGCCCTCCTCTGGGGGATCCGAGGAAGGGCCAGCAGAGCTGGGTGGGAGCACCAGGCAGGCGGCCATGGGTTGGGGAGCTGGGGGGGGGGTGTTCTGTGTGGGGTACAAAGCTGATCTGTGGGACCGCTAAATCCCCTTCTAATTCTATAACGTTCATTTTGACTCTCCTTATCTGGGCAGCCTTTTCATGTTTTAAAATATCTAGAGGTTTGCCAAACATAATTCTTAAAATCAACGGCACACGTTTTTCATGTGTTCCAAACGCACGTTCATCAATCACCCCATCCCGGCTCCTCGTGGGGGAGCCAGGCCTCCCCCCCTCCCTCCCTCCCAGCTGAAGCCAGTATTTTGTCTTCGCTGCTCTGTGCACAGAGGCTGATGCGTGTTCCACACTATCTACTGCTGAGTCCCC